GTATCACGTTAACAGTCGATCACTTAGTGGGGAGATCGAAGTATTTTAGGGTTACACGTGCATAAAATCCTCAGTTAATGAGGGAAGGAAGATAAACAACACGCATAGCCTCGGCGAGGTCATGGACACACCGTCGGATCCACGACTGGTCAGACTGCACAGCGATCCTCCTAAGCTTGAGCCGTGGTAGCTTGCTGAAACGCGAAAGAAAAAACACCAATTCAACAGACAAGTTCTTTGTCGTAAACTCCTCTCGTCTTCTTTAATTTGGCTTCCTTGCTGTTAGTACACAGCAGCACTCCTGTCTCTGCTTGCTATCATGCAATTGGCAGGACGTCATAAAAGGAAGGTATCCGCCGTGAATAGCCGCAACTGATGAGTTAGCAAATCATGTTGACTTTTCATGAGCCACGTAGGCCGGCAACAAGCTTTGCAGTATCCGGTAGTGAAACGACGCCAAATTCAAATAAAGTGAGATTTTTCGGAATTAAACTGCTTCTAATTGTGATAGTAGGAGGTTAAGCGATGGGAGGGGCGCAAGCGGCAGAGTTCTCCCCAGTGTTACAAGGAGGGGAGAATAATCCAGACAGATGGTTGGCTGCTTCACGTAAAACATTACGTTAAACGGTTCTGCCTGCATGCATATATTCCTGCAGGTAACCAAAGACTTACACCCAATTTTTAAAGCAGAACAAATGAAGTTGAAAGTCTTCTGACGTTGATAAACCACTACCCAATCTTTGTTCTTGGTTCGTGAGTGCTTTCAACAATGCCAACTAACACTGTGGTAAATCGTGTGTCGCCGAAGGAAGGAAGAGCTGGCTCAAAATGCTTAACTTACACTAAAAAACACACATCAACAAATTCTAGAAAAAATGGGATGACACTCGGTTTCTAATAGCATAAGATACTGCGATTGTGGGGGTTGGTCAGATCCAATTAAGACCTCCAATTTCAAGCTTGGCGGCGGTGCTGAGAGTAAGGAGTACGTCCTCTTACCGGAAGCCAGCGAAAATTCCACGTACCTGAACAAAGTCAAAACCCAAGGCAAAATGACTCGAGGAACTAATCTTTCTGTCTGAACGGTGGACCGCGCCACTGATGATCGTGGACGGTTGCAGTGTCAAAAGTGCACCACATGCTGGGCACTAAGACAGCTTTCTACTGGCGAACTGACAAATCTTTCTACACCACAACTTTCCAAATATCAACAAATTATCGAGGAATGGATGTGGGCATATAGCAGGCGGCTATGTGGAAAGCAAATACGGTTTCAGCCAACTAAAATATGTGTTGTTTACTTCGGTAAACTTAAAGAGGCCTGGTAAAATGTAGAAATGAAGCTGTAAAATGTGATAAAAAAGAGGCTTTCAAAAAGGACCAGATCGAGATGGCCACTTCTGGGAAGCAAAAAGAGCAAAGTGAGGAAAATTAAACTCTTTACCACTGTTGGCAATCAGACTTGCTGATTGGGCGAAAGCACAAGCGCGCTAGCTGTGGACAACACTCAGGGTCGCCGATTGATCAAACATGCCTCTCCTCCCCCTTATCGATCCAGAGGAGTTGCAAGGGTGAGTGGAGCTCAGCCAAGTTACTTGAACTCAGCGGAGATTCAAAAGTTGGAAGGTGGTTTTAGAAACCGCGTATGCGAGGAAAAAATAATCTAGGCAGAAGAAAAGCAACAGGAGGGCACACTGACTAGCACGTGGAGAAGGCAAAACTTGACCACACAGGGGGGGACTGCCATGTGGCAAGCCATGCCACCTAATAGGCGCAACAGTGAAGATGTTGCCTCCTCCTTCTCCATTTCAAACTAAGAAAGAATAGGTGTGAGCCATGAGATTGCCAAAGCCCTGATATTCACCTGGTAGATATATGTTCTGTGCTGGATGTAGTGGAGTTCTCACTAACTCATAAACACGAAATTGGGGCGGAAAAGGACCCCACCTACTGTTACACCCAGATGGTAAATTGGCGACACACGACTAAGGTAGCGTTATTATCAGTAGAGTTAGCTTCATCAACTTGTACCGTTGGTGTCCTATGCTGGAGATTCTTTAGTGGCTTTCGTCTAGAAAGTGTGTAGACTTCCATTCGATTAGCGTTAAATTTTTTATTAATAGAACATGTTGAAACAGAACCAGTCGCGAGGTGAGAGTAACTTAGAGCTTAATCCAGTGTATTCCACTCTGAGAACCCTGGATGCTGTGTACCCTGTGATTGGCATCTTTAGAGGTTCATCTGATAGCCTTTTAAATGCAACTAAAGCAGGTGCTTTGAAACTACTCTGATTTGCACAAGTGCCGACAACGTGATCGCAACTGAGCTTGGAGGTCTTTCTGGGTTTTAAAAGGCAGAAAATAAAGACGAAAAACCAGCTACTCTTAGTCAATTTTCATATTGTTTGAAATCTTCCCCTACCTCCTTAATGGTGCATTTTCCTC